CCCAATGGAGCATTGATCGATCCTCGTCTAACTATATGTAAATTCTTTCGCAGACGATCCTTATAATAACAATGGGCAATTGGAAGAAAGAGAGTTCTGTTAAGGATAAACAAACTATCGGGGCAAGAAAGAAAAGTGAGTGCTTACCATTCTTACATTTTCGTTTATATTTAGTAAGATATTCGATGTTATTTATCACTATTGAAAAAATTGTCGAAAATACAGATTGAGGAAAGAATTTATTTGAAAATTTCTTACGAGAATTCGTAATTATTTTTAGCTTATAATCATTATTCATAAAAATTCCCATTCCTTATTTTATTACAAATAATTAAAATATCGTATAAAATGTACACGAATTTCCTTGTATTATAACGATTATTGCGAACTCATGTTCGTTAATATTTATATTACGAAATGCTAATGCGGAATAGGGCATGTAGGAAAATATTAAAAGTTATTTAAATATTCTAACAGACTTTGCAGCCCTTTAGTTAATAAGCGTACCTTCGCCAAATTATACAGAATCGCGAGCAATGCAATTATAGTTTATATGTATCAAAAGAATATATTAAAATAGTTTAAGAAAATATTAAAAGATTATTGTATAAATTGATTTTTTATTCAATAATGCTGTAATATATTTACTATGAGGATATACGTCGCACAATATATAAGAAATAAAAAATTATTATTTGTGAATATTATATATTGCGTAATTGAAAAATGCAACGCGAAGTTCAAACGAATGGGGCTCTTACGGTTTCATTATAATTGAATTTTGATTCTACGATCTTATTTTCTTTGACAGGAATGTGCTTTTACATGGATTACAACATTAAAGACGTTTTAAAGCACATGGAAATATATTTAAACAATCGTAAGATAGCGAAGATATTTCGAGTTATTGATTAATAATTATCGATCATATTTTTTACATGAGAATAGAATAAACATAATTAGAAGAAGCTAACGTGGCCGATATTTTTGTTCTATATTTCAGTATATTGAAACATATATACCGTTTAAATTATCCTACAATTAGTACTTTTTATTTTTTTATTTTTAACATTTGATATGTTTTAACAGCTTTTGAAATTAAACTATCTTGTAAAGATGAGAAATTTAATGTAAAAACGAATAAAATTGAATGCTCGGCAGCATCAACTAGATAATGCAAAAGCCGAGTTTCAAGATGGTTTAATGCAATGGAAGTAGTGTTGATAGAAGGTAAAAGATTCTAAGGAGAATTTCTAGAATAGAATATAACCGACATTGGTTTATACTACTTCACAATCACTTATACTTATTTAACATCTCTTTCTTTTTTTCTCGTCGACCTCTCCATCATTCATTACGTATTATTGCTTCGAATCTCCATTCTGTTAGAAAAAAATTTTATTATTGTTTTTGGTAGATTTATTACTCGTGATTTTCATATTCTTCTCATTACTATTTGTAATAATTCTACAATGTAAGTAACAATAATTATATATAAAGGTTATCCATTTATGGGAAATATATTTAACAAATACTCGATTAATAGATACGAAAGTACGACTAATTTCCAGATAATAATAACAATTCTAAACTATCTATGCAATCATAAAATTATAATTATATATTAAAAAGAAATAAATCTATATGAAGTTCCTTATTATTTCAGCATTTATTATTAAATTTTTAATACAGATTAGCAAATGTTTGCTAATTTTCAATGTAGTTGAGAAAAAGTACGGAATCTATAATTCATTCGTACATTTAATTATTAATATTTCACTTCGCTAAAAAGTAAAATAAAAGTTTCGAATAAAATTCGTAATCCAAGATAACAGAAAACTTATCGATTCGTGTTAAATTTCTTGAAAAACTTTGCCAGAACAATATCATTAATTATTCATAAAGTATTTTTTATCAATTTTAGATAAGTTGGGTGTAATTAATTAACAATTAATTACAACAAGTATCGCGATTTTAAAAAAAAAAACTCTTCATAATCAGTTGATTTTAAAGAATTTTGAAACAACAATTGTTTTTTGCTAGAAGGAACTCTAGCTAAATTTATAGGTTTTTTCATTGTGCGAGTATTTAAATTAATCATTAGAACGGTCATTTTATTTATCATAACGTGTAATTTTATCATGTAACATTAGAAATATAAATTTCTTTATTGAATATCAATAACTTCGTTTACTAGTTAAAATTATCAAATTTCTTCGATTCTTCCATTAACGGCAATATGCATATTTATAGATATCGTTGTTGTTTTCTTCATCAGAATCTTTCATCTCTTTAATTGTAAAGAGTAGGAAAAAATTGGGAAAAATTAAAGAAATCAGAAAATCTTCTTTTTTCAAATTAGAATACGACAAAAGTTAAAACATCGTTTAGAGCCATGAGCTTCCTTCAAAGGAGCTAACATTATTGTCAATGAATAAATCGTATTATTGATCAAAGATTCACGGCTCATAAACCACATTCTCTCATCAAAACTTCATAATTTTCATAAAATTAATAAATCTGCAGTTCAATTATAATCAAGTTTCAGACATCGCCGTAAAAAGTTAAAAAATCTCGGTACACGTTAGTTTGCACATAGTAAAATCGTGCGCCTCGTGATTTACTAGTTGGGAAAAGTTTTTCAGCCGACGTAATGCACAAAAGAAAACAAAAATAAAATCACTCGCCATTCTCTATGTATTGCGGTGTGTGTGTCTGTGTGTTTGCGTGCGTGTGTGTGTGTGTGTGTGTGTGATAAGCTGCGCTTGTCCCTGGCTTTTATTTTCGACTGCTGGCAAGTCCGACACTTGCCAGACGTCGTAACGTAACACGCGTCCAAGAAACATCGCTGATAAGAATCGAGCGCCGCAGCAAAGTGCGAAAAATATGGCAGGAATGAAAGGGGAGGGTTGGGCATATGTATATAGGCTTGGGATTGACCTGTGCGCCGGGCATATTTCATGCCATCTCTTTTTCAGCGAAAATGGAGAATGGACGTTTTCCGATAGGTTAAATTTATTTTTCCGCTCGTAAATATTCCATCCTTACCTATATGCGACCTTTATTCGCGACCTGTCCGCAATGAGTAGGACAGGGAGCGCATCAGCTCTAAATGGTCTCCAACAAATTTGCGTATGATCGATATCCTTCAATCGCTCTTCTTCAGGATAATATGGCCAAGAGGATACGTTTACGAAAGCCAGAAATAGATTGACTTTTCATGCTATATTACGTGATGGGTTGTATTATCGAAATTAAATTTGCTTTATTTGCTTTAATATCCGAATTATAATAAATGCGCGAGTGAGTAAGAAGGAGAGAGTGAGAGTGAGAGAGAGAGAGAGAGAGAGAGAGAGAGAGAAAACGGACGAGATATAGAGATGAGATATTTTAACCATTGAAAAAAATATAAAAATAACTTAGCGGTTTTCTAGATCAATATCGTATTTTTAAAAGGGATTCCCAATTTTTGTACCGTGTATAATCATTACGGTATGCATATAAAAAAAAAAAAATTAATTCTATTAAGTTTAGGAGTCAAAGATCAATTCTCATCTAACACCTAAAAGTAATAATCCACGAGATTTATGAATCATTAATATCATAAAATTAAGCATCTACTTGGAGCTCGATCATAATGTACTACTTATCTTGTGATTTTTGTGAATTCTAAGATAATTAATAAAACAATTTCGAAATGATATTTCGAATCGATTCTGATTTCGTGCCATACAAATAACATAGATTAAATACAATTAAAAAATGTTATTTTCAGTTTCATAAATAATGCTTTATGAAATGTGAAGAAAAATAAGGAGAAAGCTACGTTAAGGGGAGATTTTCGTGCTGTAAGAGGAAGATTGTTCTAAGAATTTTCACGCGCTTTACGTATTACTTCAAAGATGAAATTTTCTTTTTGAAATGTGAAAGTTTTTCTAGAAAAGCTTCCTATCAGGATGAAAATTCTAGTAAAACAGAATCTCAAAATTGTTAAAAAAAAAAAAAAAAAAAAAAAAAATGAAATATTTTCATCACTCTAAACTTTTGTAATATTAAATATCTATAATGTCAATACTTAAGGAATAAGGCTAAAATTGTTTAACAAATTACGAAAAAATTTCCTAATCTTAACGAAGAAATTAAGCCATAACAAATTAATAAAAATAATATTATTTATAAAGTGAAATTTAATTTGCATTGAACCGGGATATTTAGAACTTATAGAAAACTTATAGATTCACATATATTTTTAGTAATCGTTGAATTTTCTTATAATCAATAAATTACTTTCAACCATAATATATATTATTTAATATATCGTAAAAAAAAAAAAATTTTAATCAATTCATATGAACGATACTACGAACTATGAACTGTTTTGACTATCTTATAAATTCTAACTATAAATATTGTGAAAAATCGATATTATTATTTTTATGAAAATATCAAAATATGCATTGCGATATTCAAAATATTACATACATCTTTATTATTGTTTAATGTACCTTTTACATTTCTTCATACAATACGTCACATATTTCACTGCACTTATACAAATTATATAGATTTTCTATTCTAATATTATATTTGCTCTCTTGTCGTCTAATAGACAAATATATTAATGATTATAAGTGCAAAGTTCAAACAATATGTTCAGCATAACTAGATCTAACTTTTTGCGGATTAATGTCAACTCTATATGTCTTATCTAACGTATGTTCGTTTTAATTGAGTTGTGTACTATACGCCGAAAGCTTTTAGCAAAACTTACGCACACCTCGTCAGAGTTATTATTATTCAGCTTTCTGGCCGTTAATGAATACGATAGTTTGGGCCAAGCGGGTCTGTTTAGAGTTGGAGAAGTCAGTTTTCGGAATCGGATTTTCTGACAACTTGATTAATTACGACATCGATTGATGAGATACGAATCGATAGTATCAATAAAGTAATATACATATTCATTATTTGTAACATTTTTAACAATAGCATGTTGAACTTACCCTCGATAATGGGATGGCGAGGCTTATAAGACATATCTGAAATGAAAAAATAAATTGTAAATCAAGATTTTAATATAAGTTGAGCACATCTAATATGAAAAATAGTGAATAATGAATGTTTGATAATTTTATTCATTTTTTTTTCATACGCAAGGATTAGTTTATGTTATTTAATTTTAATAAAAAAAAAATTGTTTTTAGAGTAAAAATAGCTAATAAATAAAAAAAAACAATCAAGGTTATAAATTTTATATATTTTCTCTTAAAGCTTTATCAAGAATTGAAAACAATCTTTATTAAGTAGTATCTAACGTACATATAGAATTGTATAATTATGCGATTATAATAATTATAATAATTGATATTTTTAAATATTTTTAATATAAAAATAATAAAATCATTTCTCATTAGCACATTATAAAATTGGATAATTTGTAATAATAATTTGGTGTTTTTTTTTTCTTTCAAATATCATTTTAGTTTCCAAGTTTTCGTCATCATTAATACGTAATTTTATAGGATTATTTTAACAGACGATTAAGAAGAGAGTAATTACAAATATGTACAATTACAAAAAAAGTTGCTTTTGCAAATATAAATCATTTTAATAATTTTATTTGTAAAGCTCGATCCACGCAGTAAAAATGTATATATAGTTTTTTAGTTTATAACTGTTACGCATACATATACATGTATTTGTACGCACGTGTGTGCGTGTTTATTGCAATTAATATCTACGTTAACTTCCATTAGCTATGAATAAGGAATTCATGTATGGGTATCGAATATATCAGGAGATAAATCCAGGAAGAGCGCAATACAACTTATATATTAATTAATATCACGAATATCTGGAAAATGGATTCCCTAATATCTAAAGACTGGAATATTCAATTATATATTACTATGTCTTGAAACGGTCGAAGGATTCTTATAAGATTAGAGGCGAACGGAAACGAATTATTATCAAGAAAACTGTGAATCTTAAGACTATTTACATAAGCTAATTCTAAATTAACAATTAGTTGTCAGTTATCATTCGCAAGTCATATCGTATCGAGAATTAAATTCATAGTATTTTGTAATTTTATATGTTTATAACCAATACAATCGTATCAAACTCGTCCCTTCTATTAATATTCATCTGTAATTTCAAAGTATTTGACTGGTCGTTGACAACTAAATACAAATTCCTTAAGCCCTTGACTATAATTCATATTAGTGATATATTATCGGGTACATGTTTCGAACAACATCATTGCTTACTTTTTTTTTTTTTTTTTTATACATCGAGCACGTAACCAACGTAAATACCAAAGAACATCGACAGGGTGTGTGTATATATATATATATATATATATATATATATATATATAGAGAGAGAGAGAGAGAGAGAGAGAGAAATGAATGTAGTGACTTTTAATTATCCGCCTCTTGGAATCTATTAATGAAGAGGTCTCACAGCCTACTATCACGGCATTGGAGCAACGGTGCGTTTGAAAATAATTAGAAGTTCCCAACAAAGCGCAACTTTGTAAGCCTTCTTCTCGCTTGTTCCTCTATATGCTGCTTGCGTTGACAAAGAGGAGACATGGAAGGTGAAAGATGGAAGGTAAAACCACATCGAAAAGAGTGAAGCTTAGATTATTATCGTCACATTGGATGTTTGCTCCTTTGATGAAGTAAATATTCCAAGGTGTCTTGATGCACCACAAACTTTTCTGTAGAATCGATGAGAACGATTATATCAGAGACGTCCTGTCTTGTTATATTTTAAAGAATTCTTGGTTATAGGAGGAAATCGTTTTATTTCCTAAGCGATACAATATGCAATGCAAACAATCCAAGCTCAATATGATTTTATTTTTTTGTATTGTTAGTCACGCTGTACTAATAACTATTACTGCCAAATTAAAAAAAAAATCAATTTTATATTATAGAATTATATATATATATATATATATATATATATATATATATATATAACTTTATATTTATATAAAATATCTAAATACGTTGAAAAATATTTTCTCGTGAATTTTAATAAATCTTTTAATACATTATTTTATATAATTGAAATGAAATTTTCAAATTAAATATTCTAGTATTATATTATTTAGGAAACAATTATTTTTATGCTGTATAAATTTTTATTTGGAGTTATGGTTTATGTAGTTATTCCCTTACACTTTGAACTCTTGCATCTTCGTTTTATAATGAATTTATAATTGTAAGAAATTCCACAGGTATTCAATTTACTTAAATATTGTTTTGGTCTAGATGTATATAGCGTAGGCGTAATCGAGATTTCTTAACTTTATGACTGCAATGTAGCATTATTGATCCCTCGGATATGGTATAAATTATTCATAATTTAATAATAATATAGATAACTTAAATAAAAAGTATGTAAATATATGTTATTATATACAATCATATAATACGTATTATAAATTGTCTTTAAGCCATTGAACCATTAAAGTTAATTTTGAAATTTAATAGCGCTTTGTTTATTAATTATTAATGATAAGAAAAAGAATATTTTGTATATTTGTTATTATTAATAATTCATAATTTTGTCGAGCATATATATATATATATATATATATATATATATATATACGGGAATTATTTTATAATGCTTTATAAAACTTAATTTGATATACTTTATCACTAAACAAAAAAATTGAATTCACTTTTTTTTGAATGTGGATAAAAGAAAAGTTTAAATGTTATTTAGATTCGCACATTTAAATACAAGTATCGTGTTATAATTCGAAAAAGAGTAATAAATTGTCTACCGACAAATGCAAGCTCCGACTGTTTCGTGTCTGTCTTTCAATTTGGTGATCTGGAACGCGAGCCCCGACTGTCTTAAATGAGTGATTGTAAATCCTAAATGCAAATACTAAATTTTAAGTACATGAAGGGATAAGCTGACCCTTTAGTTAGTGAATTTTCACATTTTTTCCGCCATGTTCTTCTGCTTGTTCCTTTGATCAAATCATGATTCTTATTTTTATTATTTAACAATTATTTTTTTCTTCCGAATAGTAATAAATTTTAGAAGAAACATTTTCACCCTCAGTCAAAGTGAATATTAACAATAAACTAATTAAAAATTAATATGTATTTATGTACAATATCTTTTAATTTATTATCGCTGTTTATAGTTTATCGAACATTTTATGGGTTTAGTTGTATCTGTTATTCATAAATATTGAAAATTAAGACTTTAAGATAATTATGGCTGTCAGCATTTAAAAAAAATTTATTAACATAAAACGTATTTAGCCCGAAATCTTAAACATATATATGTTATAAATATCGAAAATGTTTTATTTAAATAAATCAATTCTTTAAATGATTGCTTTCTGTACTTTTGCAATATTGAAAAATTCTTTTTATGCATTTATTTGAGCAAGTTTTCATACTAATTCAAGTTTACTATATTATTTTTTTACATATACGAAGGAATATTTCATTTTAATTTCATATATATCAAATATGGAAATTTTTTAACAATAGTACATATATCTTAGGAATAGTTCGTTGTAATGTAAAAGAGGTTTAGTGATTCAAATAAGGGTATAGTTAATTTCTGTGTAAGAGCTAGTTATTTTGATTGCAGCCCAAAGTAATTAGGAGATTGTTTACTTACTGAAGTGCAATTAACTAGAAATTAGAATGAATATTCCTTATTATCATTAGATAATTACATTTTTACTATTCCTCCAATTTTTAAAATAGAGTACGGAGTTATTGTTTGTAAGACATTATTTAGAATAAATAAAACAAGTACGTGTAGTAAAAAAAAAAAAGGATAAATCTATTATGTCATTTAATATATATAAATATAATTATACAGTATTAAAATTCGAAAATAAATTATATTACAAATACTTTTGAATTGTAATCTCAATAAATATATTGCATTAACTCTATACAAAATTCTTTTCATCCAAGCATACACACACTTACACACACTTACACCCACACGCACAAACGCACACGCGGACACGCGCACGCACACATATAAAGATATATTCGTTCATAAGCAAACTATTTATCTATGTAAATTGAAATTATAGATCATTTATATTCGATCGAAATAAGTAACGTTATCTGTGGAAGTTGAATCGTAACTTTTTAAAAGTAAGAATAAACTAAAGATATTCATTATGATAAACAGTTTGAAAGAAATTCACTAGAGAGTATGAAATACGAGATAAAAAGTAAAGAAAGAATACGAAACGCAAGAGAAAGCTGACGCTTGCAAGTGTATAATGTATAAGCGTGTGAAAGTGCAGTTGTGGTAGCAAAAAATAAAGGAGAGCGGCGGAAGTCCTGCGAGCGATTGATTTTCTCGATATTTCAAAGAGAGAGAGAAACTTTGGACGATCCGCCTGCGAAAAATGAGGAAACTTTTGCCTCTGAGATTCGCGATCACGTCTCTCCGTAACGCCTTACGCTTCACGAGCCCAGATTTTTCCAAGCCACGGATGCATCAGTATGTATGCGTGTAAATGCTTATGTAACTGTACATGCGTATATGAATCTTCAGCCGTTGGTCTTCTGTTTTCTTTCTTTTTCTCAGTCTAGATATAAAAGAGAAATTCAATACATGGACAACGAAAACCATTGCGCAAAGAAAAATATGTTTTCCACGTGTGTTGTCGTTACAAAGCTTGAGCGGTGACATTTTATCTGCGTTTTCATTAGGGGAATAGATGATTATATTAATTTTTTTTTTCTTCTTTTTTTACAATAAAGTAGACAAATAGGAATTATATTTTAAGGAAACTTTTTGCCTAACCATAACTTGTCAAATGTATCCAAACTTCTTAATTAATGAATATTCGATAAATAGTACGGGTAGATTACACTTAATTCCATTACATAGGAGATATTAGAGAAGATTAATAATCTACAGAAAATCGATTTTTAATTATAGCAATTTTACATGCTCAATTATATATGAATTCATTTCTATTGATTTTATCATTTAATTACTTATTAATATTTACGTGTCAATG